TTTAAGGTCATGATTTATTATTAGAAGAATCATGTTGACTATAAAAATGAAAAAAGGGGGAGATAAATAAAAAAAAAGATAGGAATTAGTTATATTAATTAAAATTAAATTAATTAACTTAAGATTTTACCTCCTCTCGTCAAAGAGCCAGTGTGGACTTCAATAAATGCCCATTCCTCTAGATTACAAGCAAATGAACCAAGCGATAGGTCTTTTCATTTGCACCGTGTCTCTTTCATTTTGTCTATTGTAGAAATCATGTGCGTATCTCCTCGTCCAAAACCATGAAGCCTTGCCGCACTTCACCACACACAGGTTTGCACTATTCCTTTTTTATTTTGTCTTTGTTATTCTCCGTAATCCTTTTAATTCACACCTACACTATCTTCTTGTGTCCTAGCTCCTTCCCTATGCCTTCTTTGTTCCCGAAATCTTTGCGATATAGTCGCAACTTCAAGATTATGACATAGAAAGACCTAAAACTCCCATTCTCGATCCTGTCCTTACCTCTCTTTTGTTCTTTACCGCTCACCACGTATCACTCTCTTCCACTTCACTTCCTCTTCAGTTCGAAAGCAGTGTGGTCGAGTCACTCATCGATTCCCCTCTGTCGAAAGCTGCTCTACAAAAAATGCATCTTCCTCACCTGCGATTCAACCTGTAGCCACTGCCTGAGCTTTCTGTTGCTATGTGCTTCGTCATTCCTTCACCCTGCTTTGTCCTAGTTTTCTTCTTCGACGCCTTCTCACCTGGGTCCTCTTAAGCCCCTCGATTTCTTTCTGCCTTAGCCCGTACAATCCAAATTCGCCTCCTCCGTCCGCGAAATTTATACTTGATGCCTCATCCTCATGTTTCCTCCCTCGAGCAACCTGCATGATAGAGTCAAAGCCCTTTTCACCAAAATCCTCTGCTCGCTTCATTCTCACTAGCCGAAGCCACGCGGCCCTCTTTGCCCTAGCCCAATCTACCTCCTCCGCTTCCTTGTCTGTCCAAATCGAAGCTCTCTCTTTGTGCAACCGAGCCTAGTTTAAAATCATTTCTGAGCCACTTTAATTAGTTTTTCTTTCTTATTTTATTTTATTTTTATATTGTGTATTGTAAAGAAAAGAGAAATATCTATGTTGCATTGTATTTTTTATTTTATTTCGTCGACATTGTCTCCGCCGCATTCAACGTCATTGGAGCTCGAAAGGTATAACACACTAGGGCAATATGGTAATTTTCAAAAATCTTATTCGAAGAAAGCACAAGTACCTGTTCGCAGGAATTAAGTACCGTTCAGGGAAATTACAAAATTATTTGGAGAACTCTTTTTTAAATTGGGATTTTAAAATAGCCGTCTTAGGAAACATAAGTTTCTGTCCGTGGGAATTAAGTATTGTTCGAGGAAAGTAAAGTACTGCTCAGGAAATTCTTTGTTTGCAATCTAACCTTTTTCTGCAGGTATTTTGAAGTCCCGTTGCATCTTTTGAGATTGTGAGTTAAATATTTTGTTTGCTTCTTGTCGTATTGTCTTACGATACTGGCCAACAAATTTTTTGAGATAGCTGTGAAGATTGACATTCTTTCGTGCCTCTTAACAAGGGTTGATATCGGGAGCCTGTCGAAATTTCTGGTGATATGGACTTGTAATTAATTCAAGATATTTGAAAGTTTGAACATGTAAAATAAAATAAAATGTGACTCATTTGAATTTTAAAATGATTTAAAAACTCGTGCTTTTAAAATTTGGGCTCTTAAGGTTTAAAATATTGGGGATCTAGGCTTTTAATATTTAGGCTCATATGGTTTTAAAAATTTTAAATTTTTGGGCTTTTAAAACATAGACTCTTAGTGCTCAAAGATATTAAAATTTGGAATTTAAAATTTTATCTCATAAGATTTAAAAATTTTTTGAAATCAAGCTTTTCAGATTTAGGCTCCTAAATCAATTCAAAATTGAAATTTTCAAACTTAGACTTCTATGGACGTAAAATAATTGAAATATGGAGTTTTCTTAAAATTTGAAATTAATCATCATCGTCATCTTATTCTCAATACACATGCTAGAGAACAAAAGATGGTACTCTTAAAGCTTGAAGATGTAACATTGCTTGTACTCCAAAAAGACAATATCCATATAATATCTTAGATTTCCAAATGTCTTTAAAGTCAAATGCAATGATTGAAAATACATGAAAATATTTCGAGATGTAGTTTATACTCCTTGAATTGTATATGCCTTAGGAGATTCATACAGATAAGAATCCTATACATGATTTCAAAATCTCTTATTCTAAAATTGAATATTGGAGTTATAATTTAAAGGTTGCACGAGGTTTCAAAATCTTCAAATCCTTTAAACTATTCAAACATATGAAATTTAAGGTTCGCATATGCTCCAACCAATGTATTGAATGCTCAAATATTAGGTTTAAGAATGCTTCGTGGGCTATCGGGCTGCTTTGTTTATAAGATATGTTTGTAAGTCCCAATCAACTAGTTTGATTCTCATACTCGCAAGGACTGGAGTTGACAAGTCTATTAATTTCGAAATAAACGTTAAAATCCTAAAGTAAGAATTTATAAATTCAATTTACCTAGTCAGATCCTCCTCATTGTAAGGATAAGAGTCGACGTGACTCGTACCCTAAAATTCTAAGATAACAAAATTTAATGCCCCTTCAAATATAAAGGTTAAAATGTTTAATTCCCAATGATGATCGTATTGATTAAATATTTCAATGGGAGGGCTTAATTTCTTAAATCAAGGTTTTCAAAATAATCAACTACAATACTCAAGTTAAAATTGAATCACTTAAGACTTAAAGCAAATCACATCTACACTCCACAACAGTTTGTCGAGCATGATAAATTGCAGACTGATTTCAGCTCACAAAGAGCTAATATTATGTTAAGTGTATCATTATATTCACAATCAAAGCAATTATATGTCAGTAAGAACGTGGCCCGAGTTCTCTTCCTACGTGCTTCAGCACGAAATGACACCATAAAGTAGCGGTTATGACCAGAGTGATCTGACTATGTGGGTTTTCGCCAAATGTTATCATTTGGTCACGTCCGCAGCCCAAATGTTCTCCAACGACTTTCTACCATTTGAATTGTGAATCATAGGGGTATAATTGATTAGCACAAAGCCTTCTGTCAGCTAATGTCGATTTAAGTTTGTTCCCTTAGACAAACATTCACCCAAAATCTACTAAGATCTAATGGGTAATGCAACTCATGGTTGCTGACAGGAATTTTTTAGCAATGTTCGGTCGACTATCTCCTTTGACTAAATATATTAGGGTCCATAAACACTCGGAACAACGAAACTATGAGATTTTGATTGGGTTTTGTCTTCATTTTCCCACCATCCGCTTTAAGCTTCAAGTGATAGATTTTACAATTTAAAATCCCAAGTTCATTGTTATTGTATGTTGAATATTAAATTCTTAATAACTAGTCTTAATCGAAAGTGTTTTCCCTTTATTAGAAAACCTCGAACCATAGGGGCTTGAGCCTATGAAAAACCTCGAACCCCACATCGGAAGTCCTCGCAAAATCTATGGCTACTGTTTTATCTAAAATCCAATGTACCTTATGAAAATTTGACCATCCAAAGCTCTTTCCACACAAACAAACAAATAAATAAAAATAAAGGCAGAGAGTCCTGGGAAACGGTCATAATTTTCGAGCCTATGTTAGATGCTAATGTATTAAATGATGAAATTTTATTTATTATTGGTGGATGCTAAAAGTATCTTGTCCATTGGCGTGACAGACTTAGGCGTGGAAACTTATTATTAATTACTTAATAAGAAATACAACAATTATGTTTCTTCTATCAATTGAATAATTCATTGGAATCAAGATTTTATAATTTTTCTTAGGTAAAATTAATGCAAAGTTTAGCGTCTACAATCATAGGGAACGCAAGATGTGTGACACATGGATCTAAAGAAATTCACATTCTCTCTTTTTGGTTGTTTGGATTTTTTTTTTTTTTTTGGCAAGGTTGTTTCATCTTTTCGTTTCAATAAGACATGCATATGATGCTTCTCAATAAATAGGTTTTATCATCTAATTTTAGTGGTTGAAATCGTAGTTCTGCACTTGAAGGTGGTTTGGAGTTCTGTTAGATCTATGTTTAAGGTTATTAGATTGTTATTTGCTGGTACCTGAAAGCTGTAGGCTATGTATTTGATTTCTCTATTTGGTGGTGTTGGTTCCTTCAGTTTTCAAGTGGGTTACTGGCTTTGGTCCTCTTCATTGCGTAACCTTGCGAGCCTTGTCTCTTTCACATTGAGTTATGGCCTCGTTCCTGTTCAATTTTTATTAGGAATGAGCATATGGTTGCATCTTCAGCATTCTGCGTTTTCCCTGAGGCTGTGTACAAACTTTATGAATTATTCCTAGATAAAATTCTTGATTGGATATATAATTTATTCTTGTTTTTTTTAATCTAAGTGAGATCATAAAGATTTCTAAGAGATATTGTGTCAGGCTTGTTTTGAGCATCATATTTTCTTTCAGTATTTAAGTTATATAAATATTAAATTGTATATGTATGTGTTTTATAGTTATTCAATTTAGACAATTGGGATTTCTATGAAAAAATGATTTTCAATTGATTGGATGATTTTTATGATTCCTAATCTACAAACTGTTTATAGTGAGTGATTATTAAGTTATCATTGTCACAGGTTTCTTAATTTTTTTATTTTTCTTATAAGTAATGGAAGTTGTCTAACTTGAGCTTTTAAGGTTTGAAATTGAGCGTGTTTGGTTGATTTAGATTTGCATCAACCAAATATTAGCTTCCAAGATATCTTGCATCATATGGATATTACTATCATGGTTTGTTGCCTCATACCAACCAGTAGCACAAGCACATCAAAAAAGAAGAAACACAGCTCTGTTTTTTGGATGATGCATTAAATTTTGAGTTTTTTTTTTTTATTTTGAACCCCCATTAAAATTTCATGTTGTGTAACCATTTTTTATACTGAATGCAGTACCGTAGATTCAGCCAAAGTTACTGAAGAAAACAATTATCTGGGTGATCAACAACCCAACATGCCTGAAAACGAATCCGTGGCACTTGACTTTTCTTCTAGCTTGTCTCCTGCTGCAGAAAACGATCAATCTAAATCAGAACCATCTTTGGCCTTGGAAGGACTTAAAAACTCAGTTATTCATACTGCACCAGTTTATTCAAATTTTGGATTGGTACCAGCAATGCTTGGCAGCCATTTTACAGCATCAGAGAGTGCAGATCCGCAGGCACATGAGACTGCCCGTTTCCCAAGCTTTATTGTAAGACTTGAACCTTTAGATTATATTCTAGTACTAATTAATTTTCATGTTTGCTTTTTCATTTGTTTTGAGCATCTATTTCTTGTTAAGAAAAAAAATTCTTTGTTTAGCATGCTGTTTATAGTTTGTCATTATCAGTGGTAGAAACATGGTTAATCATTTTTTGTTGTGCATCCTTTGTGTTTATGGCTTTTTCTGCTGTAATGCATAGCTTTCCAGCCCTTTTATTGCCTTTTTTTTAATCTTAATCTTTATTTTTATATTGAATGACAGTACTCAATTACTCCTATTCACATACAGATTGATTGATGTTAGCATCTTCTGTCGTTATACTTATCCTTGTATGTTCAGGCAACATTTTCTTCTGTTAACAAGGAAATTTTGATTTTACTCTATATTTTCATGTTCTTTTGTTGCATATGATTATTTTTTTGTTTTTTTTTTTTTGTTTCTTTGTTTCTTTTTTTCTTAACAAAGTTTTTTTTTTTCTCGACTAAGTATTACAATAAAAGAAACCTGAAAAGACGTGTTAGACATTGCTTTCGCTTTACTTAGTCTGCTCAGTTATGTAAAAAAAAAAAGATAGTGCAAACTGTGCTTTGTTTAACAATTACTATTGCAAGCAATTTATTTATTTTTTTTCCGAATTATAATATTTTGAAAATTTTTCGTGCACGTTGCTGTCATTTTGAGTTCTCTTTGTGAAATTTTACCATGTCATGAAACATTTAAATGCTGAGTAATTATGTGAACTGATGGGGATCACTAGGTAGCTTGGTGAAGAAACAAGTTCTATCTTGATGAAGATTTAAATTTGTTTAAAGTGGATGGATGAGTTTGTTTTTCTAGCGACTGATCATGCAAAGTTAGAAAATATTGTTATGGAGAGATCCGGTGGGTTTTTACTTGCTTTTGTTTCTGATTAATACAGATTTTGGTGTATTTTGGCATATTCTCCAAATTTGATCAATTAATGTTTAGCAGTCCGTTGAACATATCTAATTATTCAACTAATATACAATATCTCAGATGTTATCTTCAATATATTGCATTTGGAGGTTTAGTGATGCTTTCTGTAATTCTGTTATTGTACTGGTCTAGACTGAACTTTGGATAATGCTGTTGCTCAGGTTCCACAACCTTTTGATCCTTCTACAAATTATTATGCGTCCATCTATAGGCCTGCCATTGATGGTGATGGTCGTTTCTCCCCTCTTCTTGCCTCTGGTGCTGCCACTAAGTACAGTGGGACTGGTGCGGTATTATCATCCCAAACTGGCCAATCTGCACAAGAGGTTTGCTTCTTGTTTTTACTGCTTGGCTGTTACTCTGCCTTTTAACTTTGAAAATTATCATAAAGACGACCATGTTTTTTGTGAATGTCTTGACTCACATTATTAAGTCTTATATGTTTAGAACGTGTAATTTATATTTTTTTTTGAACTTCGTATCAAAACGGTATATATATGACACCATTAATTTAATTTCCCAGCAATGCAGGCTACTAAAATGTCAGACTTGGAAATTGCTAATTTGGAAGTTCTAAAAATAAATGGTCCTTTCTTGAGTTGTTTTTAGAGTGCATCTTGTGAAATATTTTGTCAATAATGTTTTATGGTTTTTAAATAGCTTGGTAATTATTTCATTCGCTTGAATTCATTTTTATACTATTTCTGCAATGTTGATCTCTGTATTTTTACTCCCCAGAGTGGAAGCTTATTGGGTTTTTCCTCAATTGGATCGAATCCTGTAACAGGACTTGGAAATTGCTAATTTGGAAGTTATAAAAATAAATGGTCCTTTCTTGAGTTGTTTTTAGAGTGCATCTTGTGAAATACTTTGTCAATAATGCTTTATGGTTTTTAAATAGCTTGGTAATTATTTCATTGCTTGAATTCATTTTTATACTCTTTCTGCAATGTTGATCTCTGCATTTTTACTCCCCAGAGTGGAAGCTTATTGGTTTTCTCCTCAACTGGATCGAATCCTGTAACACAAGCTGCTGGAGTGGTGCAATCTTCCATTGCTGCTGCTCAACAGCCTGTTCCCATTTTTAGACAACCTGCTGGTGTACATATATCTCATTATCCACCTAACTACGTTCACTATAGTCAGTATTTTTCACCATGTTTTGTTCCTCCTCCAGCGGCCATTCACCATTTTTTAGGAAATGCCGCAACATTCCCCCAGCAGCCTCCGCCTGGTGGCATATTTCCCCTTCCAACGGCAACTGTTGGCACCAACCCTGCCAAGTATCCTGTCTCTCAGTACAAGCCTGCAACTAATGGTGGTCTAACTGGTCAGGGATCCTATGGTTTTAATCCGCTTGTTTATAGTTCTGCTGTTAATGGTGGGAATCCAACTGGAAATGAGGATCTTGCTTCATCTCAGTTCAAGGACAACAACGTGTTTATGACAGGGCAGCAGGTTTGTATGATACATATTTTGACTTCACTGCTTGTTTTTTTTTTTTAATTTTTAAATGAAGCCTTTTCTTGTTTTGATGAATTTTATTGCAAGATGAATTGGAGATGCATTTTATACCATTGTTGCTCCAAATAAAAGTTTCAATTATTTATCAATAAACAGTTTTCAAGCTCATAATATTTTGGGGTTCATTATTCATCTCTTATTTTATTTTTGTTTTCTTCTAGCTTACATTTATTATCAGATACTTCTATTAGCTGTTTGATATAGTGCATCTTATTTGGGGAAATTAACTTGGGTGTTATGGTTCACCACTTTTCAATTTTTAGTTCTTTGACTTTCATATATGTTTTTTTATATTTTTATTAAATACTTATCGTTATGTCAAATACATCTTTATTTTACAGCTCATATGATTGCTTTAAGCTTCCTTTGCTTTCCACTCTCTGCTTCCCTCTCGGATTTTTGTTATTGCCTGAGAGTATCTAGTTCTTGCTTTCTTACATATGGTTATAAATGGATGTCTGATAATTACAAGAAATAGTTTTTCAAAAAGAGATGATAGTAGTCAATAGTTAGGTTGATGAAATCTAACAAACTCTTGTTAATAACAATATCTAATTTATCAGTAATCATATGCTAGTAAAGTACAACCATATTGAATTTATGGTTGTATGTCAAATACATCTGTATATTGCACCTCATATGAATGAGTCAGCTTATTTAATTTTCACTATCTACTCCCCTTTTTGAATTTGAATTTGGTTATTACCTGAACTATCTAGTCATTGTTGGTTATTACTTCATGTTTGGTATTGACTAAATATAGTTTTAAAATAACCAAATGATTTGTGTGTGTGTGAAATTCTTTTTTTGAAAAGGACTAGTATGCATTATTTGAATTTATAGAACTAATAGATTAAATATTTTTACATGAAGAATTTAGAACAATTTATCATTTTTTGGAGAAATTAACTTATGGTCCGATACTATTTATTTTTTTAGCTCTTTGCTTTCATTTATTTTTTTAGTTAGATTAAATTAGTTTTTCAAATTTTTTTAAATAATTATTTATTTAGCAATTACAGCTTATTTTACACTTCATATAAATGCTTTGAGCTTTATTTACTTCTCAACCTTCACCTTCCTCTTTAATTTGATTATGGCTTACATATGATTATTATTGGTTATTTTGTGACAGTCAAATTGAGGAATCCTATAAATATTTGATAATAATGAAATCTAGTTTTTTTTTTTTTTTTTTTTTTTTTTTAAAACTTTATTCTAAGCAAAAATAAAAAATAAAAACCTGCTTGAAAAAAATAGAGAATATGTTATAGGACTGAAAATTAAATTTTATTTTCTAAAAGGACCAATAAATATTTTTTTGAAAATGATAGGACTAAAAAATAATTATAGTTAAAGTCTAAGACCTCAGCAATTTGTCCTATTACGGTTAAATTAACTTGTGATTTTATTGTTGATCGCAAATTTGCTTAGTTATTTGACTTTAATGTATTATTGTTTAGTCTAATCAATTTTTTTTTTTCTAATTTCATCAAATAATCATTTCTAATTTCATCAAATAATCATTTTTTTATATCAACTTTTATTTTTCTTTTTTACCTAGTCTCGCTGAGCTTTATCTGTTTTCCACTCTTCCTTTGAATCTAGTTTTTCTTGAAGGTATCTGGTTTTTTTTTTCTTGAATAGGTTCCCATTGCTTGCCAGGTAATAGCCATAATATAATTTTTAAATAACTAGTTGTTTTTACGAAATAATCAGATTAAGGAAATCCGGCAAATTTGTTGTAATAATCATATCTAATTTTTTAGTAATCATATGCTCACAAAGATAACTAGGTTAAAGGAAAAAAGAGAAAAGAAATGATAGGACTAAAAAATAAATTTTAGTTTTAACATGGACTAATAATTTTTTTTTTTAAATCGGCAAAATTAAAAAATAATTACAGTTTTTTTAGAAGAAAATAATTACTGTTGAACTCTAGTATCTTTGAGAAATTTATCCTTTTTTTTAGAATGTGCTGGATTTTTCTTTTTTGTTGAATCTAGATTATTGAACTTTTCAAGTTTGTTTCCGTTGCACCAATCATTGTTTTGAAGTGGTTTTTGTTTACGTAGCACTTAATTTTAAAGTTAGTATTGCATTGAGTTTTCTGATCTTAGAGAACTCCCGTGGTTTATGAATTATATGCATCGTTTGATTCTTCTTTATTTGTTAAATAATAACTTATTACTCACAGGTCCATATTTGCTTGTAGCCTTTTTTTTTAATGTGTAGCACTATTATTGAATTATGCATCTTTCGCTGTACATATTGTGTTATTTTTATTATTAGAATCATCAAGATTATTAGCCCTAATCCAACTTTATAGGCTAATCTTATAAATCCTATTTTTGAGTTATTTATGTTGAGTGTTTAATGAAATGTTAACCTATTTTGCACCTTTTTGAACATCTATGCATATGGCCCTCCTTTCTTTCTTAATCCCCCAACACTAGTTTTATGTACTCATGTTATGTGCATTTTCAACCCTTAGTTGTGCCTGTCCAAATCACAAACTTTTTTGTATTAACATATCCTTAATAGATACTATTCTCATTTTCCTTCTAATTTAACCATTGATCGATTTATCATTTCAAATTTTGCCAGACATATATCTTTTCATTATCATTTGACCATGCTTATTTTGGTTATTAATAACTTGTACAGCTGAAAAACTTGGATGGATATGCTGTAGTAGGCTTTCTTGCAACATTATAAAATCTAGCTTTAAGAATTGTTGTCAAAAGCATTAAACTCTCTCAAGTTGATATTTCTACCACATGCCCGAGGCGTCAAGTGCCACCTTGAGTGTTTGCCTGCATGACATGAGGAGCTCGAGAATAAATAATTACATAACTTAAAAACATATTTTTACCATTGAGGAATATCATTGATGAGTGTAAAATAATTATGAACATTTCAAGCTCTATTGCTTTCAAATTAAAATTCTTTCAAAATAATTTATCTTAGATAAATATCATTAATATAACTAATTTTATGACCGATATATCCTAGGTGTAATATAATATTCACTTAACCACTATAATATATTTTATTTTTATCACCATTCCTGATGTCCTCTCTCTCACAAGATTTGTAGCCCTTTATTTCATCCATTTTTTTTATAGTCAACCTCTTCATTCTCAAGGTTTGTAACTTTAAAACTTGAAACAATTGCTACAAGCCATTTTATCAAAGTTTCTCCTACTGCAAATACCTTTTTTGTAATGCTTGGGGCTTTTTTCATATCAGTCCATCAAAATTTTGTTAATGCTTAAGTGTTATTGCTCATTTTTTTAATCAACACAAGGCGCTTGCCTTGCTATCTTGTGCCTTAAGGCAAGGTGTTTGCTTATGCACAATTTAGTAATGACACTTGAGTGAGAGGTATGGAAGGCACTATGGCACTATGGCTTCTCTTTGCCTCACCTAGGTTGCTTGGTAGGCGCCTAGTTTGTCTTCAATAATATAGATTTTAATTCTATATGATATTCTCACATCATAGAATATTAATTAGACATTTCTCTATTTTAGTCATTCCATGTTAAGTTTAGAATATATATACACTCACACAATCATATGATAATTGTAAATATCACATTCACTAAATCTGCACATTTTATACTCGATGGTTGTTCTATTAATCATAAGCTTTTTTAATGTTTTATATATTGTTGTGGTTTTTCATTTATTTCAATCGATGTTCACACCCCATGCACCTATCCATTCATCTGTATGATAGTTCAACATACTTACGTTTATTACTTTATGTATTATTTTATTTTGTAGAACTATTTTATAATAATTGTTAGCATCACATTCACTAAAACTGCATGTCTTATACTCAATTTTTTTGTTCTATTTATCATAAGATTTTAAATCTTTTTCTTTCGTTTCCCCATTATCAAGAATTTTGGCAGCATCAGACTGACAATGAGAACATACATTCACTTCCAAGCATTTATTTGATTGTTTATACATCATTTTATGATAATTTGTATTCCCTAGAGTAACTTAGAGCATTTAAATCCTATATGTTTACTCAACTACTCCACTAACAAGTAAGGCTATTTTAAATTGTTGATTTTCAATGCAATCATACAAGTATTCCGCTGAAAGTTACAAGATATAAGATTTAATTATATTTAAACAAGGCTTGCGTAGCCACACTTGCATAGCAACACATGACTAAACATATAACTGATAACACACTTGGAATGCTCATACTTTTATTAAGCAACACCATAGAATTTAACTTGCATGAAAATATTACCCAACACGTAAAACATATTATGTAACCATGGCTAATTAAGCATGATGTTGATAATAAGATAATTGAGAGTAACATGTTAGCATTATAAGGTGAGTGAAGCACCATATTATGAAAAATATCATGAGCTGGAAAAGCAAGTAATCTTCAAGTAATATGCAATATTTATAAAGCATATAAGACAAGTATTCAATAGTCCATATAATATAGGGTAAGCAGCATTTGATCATTGCATCTATTTTTTGTTTTCTTATCATGTTTTATACTTAAATCAAAGCTTATGATTTTAGTTTAATATTCACATAAATCTTCTTGATAATTAAGTTGGAATAATTTGTTAATTAATTACAGAAATTTGATCTAATTAGCGATTTTTTTAAAATTGACAATGCGACTCAGACAAATTGGTAGCTTCGGGCATATGAAAATTTATGCAGTACCTAAATTATACTCATTTATACATAAACTATGATATTTGATATTACTAGTTTGATCACTCTTTAATCATAACTATTTTTTAATAGTCAGGCTTAGTTGAAATAAATAATTTGTGCCATTACATTTGTATAAGAGCTTGATGTCCTTTTGTATGATATTTGGTTCAGACTAACGAACTGAAGTTAGTTGGATTGTGACATCATGGATCCAAATAGGTTAGTCTGAAAATGGAGAAGTGATAGTTACGACTAGGGCTGTTAAAACGGCTCGTTGTTCACGAACAGTTCGTGTTCGGCTTGTCAAGAAACTCGTGTTTGATTCATTCGCTAAGTTGACGAGTCGAACACGAACAATTTTTTTGCGCTCAATATATAAACAAGCCGAACACGAATAAAGATTTATTCATTTGTGTTCGACTCGTTTTGGCTCAAAATAATTAAATTATATATATATAATCTATTAAAATTATTAATTAAAAAATAGAATAGAAATAAATTTCATTTTTTGGTACATACATTCCACCATTTATATGCATTTTTTGAAAATTAAAAGGGTGGTATAAATGTAAATAATTAAGCTCAAAGACCATAGATATGTAAATACACAGCAATTGAGTGGTTCAGTTTTAAGAAGATTTGTATCCTTGTCCGATTCTTATGTATTTACATATCTAGCACCTAAAAATCATTTTCTTTTGCATACATACCACTTAAATCATGCATGAAATAGTGTACTTCCTAGAGAGAGAGAGAGAGAGAGAGAGAGAGAAGTTAAAATGGTGGTATTTTTTAACATAAATGTGTAAATTCTCCTATTTTGTTTTAAATCCGCGTACATTTAGCCACAAAATTCTCTATATATTCGTCATTCAAATGAGTTATAAAGTCCATTTGATATCTGCATGCACAATACGTATGTTTGGGACAGCTGCAACTTATTAATAAAAACTACTGATAAGCTGTTGAAAAATAATCTGTTGTTCAAAAACTGTGATGGCTATTACACTTTTTTTTTTCTTTGGAAAAAGTTAGACCGCAACTAGAAAACTAACACCGCATCTAGTCATGAACGGCGTGAAAACACTGATTTAGCGGTTTGAAAAAGCAGAAGAATTGTCAAAACACAGTTTATCCAAACAGGCCTGAGTGCGTTTTCAAAACGCACCGTATCGCACCAAATAAGTTGCCCCATGCGGGTCTCTAGCCACAAAGTCTTCACATAAACCTGTAAGAAAATCTGCACAAATCAGCCATTAAACAGTCATAAGAATGCATTAAGAAAATCTGTCCAAACCTTCATCAAATCTGCATAAATATTGCTGAAATTGTGCATGATTTCAGTCATCAAATAATTCATAAACTTGGTAGAAATCGTTTTTAATTCAACTATTTTCTAGACACCACTTAGGTCTCGCCTGAGAGGACGGTCAAATTCCGCTAGGTTATAGTGAACGCTGAACCCTGAGCTTATTACGCCTAAGATTCTGCTGAAACAATAAAGATCTGTTCTTTGAGTGTTTCCTATTTGCAGGAGTTTCAAAGAGTAAAAAAATGCAATCTTTCATCTTCTCAGTTTAGAAATATCAGAAAAGGTATAGTTTTTATTTCAATTTGTTTTGTTTCAGAGATGAGATCCATTTTTTGTTTTCTGAAATAGGTGTCTGTGTTTTGGCTCACTGTTAGAGATTTAAGCTATTAGGAAATCCTGAATGAGTTCGATCCAGTAACCCGTATGGAAACAGATTTACTAAATCCTGTAAATCCAACAAGACTATTTTACAATTTCTGTTAGAATTTAAAAAGCCGTTATGACTGTTAAGATGAGGCAATGCCTGATAGACAGACATTCGGAAGCCTGCGAAGTTAAATCTCAAGCCCGCAAAGTTAAATCCAATGGTTCGTAGGATTTAGCTAAAAAAATTTAATTGACTAGAAGGCTACAAAAGATTCATAATCAAGTGAAGTTATTAATTAAAAAAATAGAATAAAAATATATTGAATTATATTTAAATGATGTTTAAATATAAACAATAAGATTTAAATCTTGCCCCAATTCTTAACATCCTACAGATGCATGATTAGAGTTATCAAAATAACTCTTTTTCCGTGAACAACTCTTTTGGCTCGCTAAGCAAATGAGCTGAACACGAGCACATTTTGTGTTTGAAATATAAACGAGCTGAACACGAACAGTGATATTTTTTAACTAGTCAAACACGAGTTGAGTCTGAGCTCACTCTTATTTGGCTCGTTTACACCCCTAGTTACGATTGAGGGCCAGACAAAGTGCATCTTCTAGAAAATTCTGGGATTGACTTCTTAGAAAAAGAATTGCGTCTGTTCCAAATCTCAGATTGAAGAGTTAAATATGATTCTGAGATATATTGGCAATGAGTTAAGACAATAAAATGTGAAGCATATTTTGCTGTAATGAGTGAATTTCTCTTCAGAACTATATAATTAAGTGTACGTGTAGTAGGACACTACTAAGATGAGTGATGTCGTGAACATACATGTAAAATAATGAAATTGTGTAAGGCTTAACCTGACATGGAGTAATCTGGGCGAAAGCAGGCAATACACTGCATAGCTTGATCTCGGCTGTTATAATGTCTCATTGTATAAAATATATTTTCCGTGAAAAGCATTAATTAATACATATTGGATCCTTTTTATCCCGAGCATCTCCATATATTAAAAGTTACAGACATAAAACAAATCTTTGGCAAATCATATTGTAATTTGAATTTTTTTTAGGCACTTCACTAATGCTGCCATAATAAATGAAATTTTGGTCACTTTAAACCTTTTTTTAGCCAATATGTCATTTCATGTTTCTTTAATGACTTCGATATATCATTGACACGTCATTTTCTTGTTGCATGCACAATCAGTTCTCATATCACTTAATTGTATCCTTTCTCATTATTAATACAAATTATAGTAAAAGCGTTTCTTTACTCTGTTTATTTTTTTTATTAATTGTCATAACAAAAATCACTTCTATATATTAAATAGCATGCGACCAAATTTATTCTTCAATGTCCACACAGTTTATGTTTAATTACTCTCACATGGCTTGATTTTATGATTTATAAATTTGATTTTATTATTATTATCACAATTCTGAACCTGCTTGTTATTAAATACTAGTGCAGAATGTTTTCTTTTTTCTCTATATCTCAGTGCTCCATGTCATCTTGCCCTACAATTTTTCTTTTCTTTAGAGTTAACTGACCTTATTTTCAATTAATCAATAATATGCTATATGATTTTATTAACTATTGTTTTTCTAGGATAATTTTTTTTTTTCAATCTTAGTTATTAATTTCTCAATTCTCAAAATAACATTTTCATGTTTTCTTATTGTATTCATTTTTATCTAAGATTTTTCTTAGTTACCTCTAATGTATCTAATTCGTGAAGTCTTTAGATTTATTACGTCTTATCTATGTTATTTTATATTTTATATTTCCCCTTTCCATGTGCTTTAGCCTATTATATAAGTTTTTAAAAGATGTAGCTTTTGATTTGTTCAATAGTATTTATCTTTTATCACTTTTTAAAAGAGTAATTTTGTAAATCACTTTCACAACCTTCTTTGTATCTCTATGCTCTACTTCCAAGTTTCTTTATAAATCATGATTTATTTCTTGACCATCCTAAAACTTCTACAGCAAACCTCTAAATGGAGCTAGTCTTCTTAACTGTAATTCTAATTTGCTTATTTTAGCTACATATTTTGAAAGATGAATAATTTCTCTCTTTTCAAGTTTCACCCTTTTATAAGGCAATAATTTATTTTGATCTTTATTTTTTAAGTTTTTAATTTTTACATCCATAACTACTATTATGTGCTGTTTTCGGACTTTCTCTTTGAGTTACTTCACAAATGTTACAACATTTTTTTTTCTTGCATTCTATTAGAGATTTTGTGGGCCCACTTTTGAAAATAATTTAGAACCTCCCTGTTTCCGAATGTACACATTCACTATTGCAAGGGCATCTGTTATCAGGAAATCATGCATAATTTAATGAAGGATTGGTGGCCGAGTGGTTTGCATTGTTTCTCTAAGTTCATGGGTTGGAGTCACATGATTTGAAATATTCCTAATTTTAATTAATTTTCAATTTACTAAGCTGATTAATGCTAATTAAATAAAAAATAGTATCAATCTGTTTAAACTAATATGTTTTAATTAATTGATATTAATTATTGAGGTCTATATATTTAAACCACAAAGTAATATATTACTATTAATTAAAAAAATGCATATTTTAAACTAATATCTAATCAATCAACTTATCAAACCTTTTGTTCCTGCCCTGTAAACTTTCAAGTAAACTGCTGTTGTCTGAAAGAGAAGAAGAGATCGTGACAGGAGCTCATGAGATGAGTTATTGTTGGAAACCCGCGGGGAAAGATATGTTCTTGATTCAAGTTAAATGCATACAATTCTCGGTAAGTCCAAGATTTAAGGTAAAATGGGGAGAAATGGGACATAGAATTCTATACATCTGAATTTTATGATTTTTACCCATTTGGTAGGATTCAAATCATGCTACCAAACAGCCAGTAAAATAAATAGACCTCTATACTTTATTTTATTATTATTATTTTTATTTGGAGATTTCTGGTTTGTTGAAAGAAACTTTTGTTCACATTTATTTCTTTAATAATGCAGAGCGAAGGTTCAGCTGTCTGGATGTCTCCATCTCCCAGGGATATCTCCACTTTTCAGCCTGCTTCCTTCTACAACGTTCCTCCCCAGGGACAGCCACTTGCCTTCGCTCCACCCCAAGCAGGCCACGCCGCATCTGCATTCACCGGCATTTACCACCCCACCCAATCCATTCCTACCGGATCTCTCCATCCCTTGCTCCAGCAATCCCCAGCCGTCGCCGGAGCAGCCGAAATCGGCGGCCCTCCGGTCGGGATATATCAACAGACTATCAACAGCCTCAGCGACCCTCACCTATCAACTGGATCAATAATTATTGAACCTTCAACCGGAAATATTTCTTTAAAGTAAGCATTTGGTTAACCAAATATGCAGTTCATTGCATTAAAAAAACGAGGGACTATATTGGGTTCAGTCATGAGGAGCAGATTATCATCTTCATGAAGATTTAAGGCATGGGAATGTTGTTGTATATACAGAGAGGCATAAAGGATGACCGGAAACTTTGGCGTGATTAGAGGTCGTCGAAGGAAAGGTAATGGAGCTGCACCATCACCTGATATTGATAAGTTGACCATTTTATGTTGTAGTCGAGGTTTTTCTCTTATTGTTGTTAGTTGTTGCTTTGTAATGCTGTTAAAGTCTCGGTTTAGTTCTCTTTTTAGATATTCTCTCTCTTTTTATCTTTATTTATGTCATCTTTCATTCACTTATCCTTGGCTGAGTTCGTACGATACTATAAAAAAGAAATTATTTGTGTTTTTCGTCATTCATTTTGTGAATGTGATCTTCTGTAAAGGAAATTTTGATATCATATATAATTGTATTGATAACTGTTATATTTGCTATAGTAGAGGCACAGCTGCATCTGTTACCAGTTACTTTTCTATCATTGGAGGTATGGCTTTTTGATTGGCTGAATTTATGGTGTACTGTAAATGAAATGTATGGGTTTACAAAATTTTGGTGTTTGGATGGATGAAAATGAGATGCATTATATAATTTTTTGTGAATTTGAGATTCATTTAGTAGTTTAAAACTGGTATACTTCAAATTTGTCAGATTTGAACCATTTTCAAGTACACTACAAATTATGGTCATTGTCTTCATTCTGTTGCACACCTACTGTTAGTCATCTCCTGCAAGCTGTTGGCCTCCTATCTATCCTATCTAGCTGTGCTTTAAATTGATTGATTTATTTATTTCCAAATAAGCATAATGTAAATTAGTGTATTTATTTTACACTGAATCAAACAACTTTATAACATTCGCGATATAATACATTTTACATGCACATCATTCTGTGTATGTAAAATATAATATATTGAGAATTGAAAAGAGAGGATTATGGTTCTACGGATGAATTTAGATGTAATAATAATATTATGATATCAATATTATTATCAATTGAATATGCAAAAAAATATTTTGCTGTACAGCTTTGAGTATAATTTTAAAATCAAACAAATTTAATAGCAAAAAAATAACATCTAAATGACCTAATTTGAGTCAAATTAAGCTCATATTAAATCATTAAATCCTTTATAGAAGTTTTTAGTGTCCAATTAGAAAGTCAAACAGATTTAAAATCTAACAAATTTATACTCAAATTGAGTGTCTTGATGAGGTGTCCCAACGAGCCTAAGCTCAGTCATTTCCAACAATTTTAAGGCTTTAAACGTCCATAAAATGTCATACGAACAAGTAAATCTCTCCAGACCGTTTGATTGAGTGATTCATATTCTTTATTTACATGGAGGTTTCTCTCACACTATAAATAAAGCCCGACCCCTTTCATGTAGAGGGACCTAGGATTTGAATCAAAAAAATCGTTGAACCTAGAGATGGTTCATAAAGAATGAACTGAATTCTAATGTCAGGTTGGAAGCTGTCAGCCACCCTTGCTCGTTGCTACAAAATTCCTTATAGAGTTCAAGACATACGTTGTGAAATAGCGCGGCACTATACGAAGCAACCACCAACATCGTGAAGTAACGAGGCATCCTATAGAGCAGCACATCGTCCTGAGCACGATGCAGCGACACGTCTTAAATATGGCACACCGAGGCACTAACTACTACTCTTACTTGCAAACTATCCCAAGTGCTGCACAACGATTCATTTGGCCCGCAAACATTGCACTTCAAGGAACTATGTAATCCTTTCTCACTCGTGGGGTGTAACCGTTAACTCATTGTAAATTATTTTAATTAGGTCATGCCTTGTAGTTTTTTCTCTTTCAAGGTTTCCACATAAAAATTTCTGGTGTAGGAGATTCGAACTTGTGAGCCGAGGGGACTTACGACTCTCAGAGATACTGCTCTACCAGCATGCCACGGTACGCATGTGCGCTTGCGGGCGCGCCCACACACACACAGATATATAATAATGAAAGACTTCGATTTTAAATGAATAAATTAATTTATGAGTAAAATGTAGGTTGTGGGTATGGGGAAGACATGAAGCAAATTGATAACAAGTTAATTTGATTGAATTACAAGAATATAGAGCATCACAGGTGTTGAAGTTCGTCTTATTCTACAATTCCTTCTCACCTTTTGAGAGAACTTCCCAATCATTGAAGCTATATTTTGTTTATATTTTATGTTAGATTAGAAGTAGAGGCAAAGCATGCAGCTGAGATCTCTTTCAACAAACAGAACAGAATATAGGCCTCCTCTACCTGATCCTACAAGCATTTTCCAGCTGTGATCCACTTTTGTTTATTTATTTATTTTTTTATTTTTTATTTTTTTTTATTTTAATTTGAAATAAAATATATTTGGTGATATTATTTTTAGATTTTTTTTTTTAAATAAGTTAAATTTCTTTTTTAAAATAAGAAAGTGCCTTCTGATATTTATTTAAACAAATAATAAAAGGAAATTTACATAATTAGAACACAATCCTTGTGCTCTTATATATGGCATGCCTAAATTTATA